AGAAGCTAGAAGACTGCGATAGGTCAGTATAATGCGTATTATCTTTTATTATGCTTTACACACCTATATTTAAATCAACAGGTAAAGTGTTTGTGCAACATTTTTCTGGTTACGGTAGAATAAATTTTCAAAACTGTTGGTAAAATTAATTGTGCAATTTGTTTTGCTTGCTACTCGCATTATTTTATTTTAATTAATTAAACATGAAAATTGTTGCTATTGCAATTTTCAATAGAAGTTTTCCGTAGCATTTTCTGCAAAAATCAATTTACCAAGACTCAATTACAATACCTTATTAAATTTGACACGGACACTTGAACTGCCCTTGTCAGGGACATTGTTTTTAATAGAATTATTTACATTGAAGCCTGGTTGTTAATAGTATGTATTTTGTTTGTTTCAGGTCACTGATAACGTGGTTAGATGATGCACTGCAGCTTTTGTTCACAATTTTTTTGAGAATGTCTTAAGAATAAAACATTCTTATTTGCACATGTTGGTTGTTTTTTTTTTCATGTCAAGCTATGTTTGCATTTAAATTGTTAATTATCTAAGTGAATTTAAAGGTTCTTGGGAAATTGTCAGATACCATGCACTACTTATAATCAAAGAGATGTTGATTTCATAATTTTGCTAATTCTTTAGACAAAGTTTTAAGAATAAGTTTTGATGTATTAGTACATGGTTTGCAAGTTTTTTTAAAATCTGATTCATTGTGAATCTGATACAGAATATTGAACCGTTATCAGAAGAAAAAAAGTGCAGTATTTAATTTTAAAGCTTTCAAGAACTAAAATATTGCATCAGGTTGTTGTTTGAAATAACTGAGGAAAATCTTGTAATCTACCATACTACTGTAACTCATTGGTTACCCTCTTACTATGATGTATAAAATAATGGATGGTCCTGCATTTTTCAATCTTGATATGTTAAATTTGTTGTAGATTGTTGCACTTTAAAAAAAAATTCAATTGCAAAGGGGATAACAAGAATATACTCCATGAAATTGATGCACACCATCTCTGTTAAATAAACTATACTCACTGATATATAACAACTAGACCACATATATACTTGAGTAAAGTAGAATATTGATCAGTTTGTGGGGTCGGTAAACCGAAAAGTCTCGAGTTCGAATCCTCGGACAGATGAGGCTCGTTAGCTGGGGACAGCCACTCTTCAAGGAGAGACAACTCCCAAAATTAAACTGCTGCCTTGTACTCCACTTGAAGTTTGTTCTTGGTTGGACATAGGCTATGGAAGCAGGCTGAAATCGGAGTCATTGGCGCATAACCAGTTGACACATAACGCTTAAGCTTAAATTGTGTTGGAGGCGTGGTCGAGTCGGCAAAAAAGCACATGGTTGATAAATTTGAACAGAGTCTTGAGTTCAAACCCACTGGCAGATAAATCTGGATCCCCTTCAACACTAATAATTAAGAATGAAGAAGATCAGTTTGTTAACGATCCAACAACACAATTTGGCTGTGAAATGAGTAGTGTTGGAGTCCTCTATTTTCCTACTGTTATCTGGACAACAGTCGTCCTCAAGTTGTAGAGACCCTAGGAATGTTGACACTGAAGATGGTCATCTAGACTTGTAGTTAAAAAAATAGTTAATGATAGTGTGGAATGAGAAACTATCAACTAGATACTAATATAATATTGTATGGAGACTACTTATTAATCTAATCTCCCCTCACACTATACAATGAATTCCTTAACCGTCTCTAGTGGGTCATCCATTTATAATGCCCACTAAATTTTTGGAATTTAAGCCCCCTCACCTCGTCCACTTTCGACAACACCCCCACCCCGATTTGGACGTCACAAAATCTACCAATTTACTTTTTCAAAAACATGTATTGTGTAGCCTACCTATTAACTATATACGGGTTTAACAGTTACAGTATAGTGTCAACCATTAGACTAAATATTAACCCTTTATTTACGGAATTAGGTTCCGAATGACATTTTTTCTTATAAGTTAATGTGTTATCATATTGCTTTTGGCACATTTAAAGCATATGTCGAAGGAAATTTCGTTTCATAAATTTTTAATGGCCAAAACATATATTGGTACTTATAAGTACCGTCAGGAATGTAGGACATTTTTTTCCAAAAATTAAAAAATTTGCAAAACAGGAAAAAACGATACAACATATTAACTAATAACATGGCAATCATTATAACAAACATTTTTTGTAATTTTCACTCATAAACCCAGCACAAAAGTATATTTTGAGTACGATTTTTACTGGATTTTCTATCGGAACATATCTTAGACCTCAAACGCAGCAAAAGGTGCCGACATGTCATGCTCCCTCATTCCTGATACATTCTTGTCTGTCGTCTTTCTGGTGTGGCAACAGTTGCCGGACTGAACCTGCTTTTGCTGGAGGCTTCCAATAGCTATTACAATGAGCCGCATAAACAAATATTTTGAAAACAAAATCCTAGTCATTCAGTACACTACTACTAGTAATGCTAGTATAATTGTAGCCTAATAGAATGGTATGACAAGTCTACACTACAGTGTAAAGTTCATAAATAGAAGTGAGCTCAATGTGTTAGGAATAGCCGTTGTGGCCTACTTACAAAAACGATCTATACTACAAATTACAAAACGATCTATATTACATGCAGATATATGGACTCTTACTAGTCTACATGTATACATTACGTACACGCTAGCTATTGTGGGCAAGACAGTTTTTTGCAACAAATATAACTTACAAATCTTACTTCTAGAACTAGACTTTGGTATACAAATAACGTATACTAAACCTAGTAAGCGAGCCTGCAACTGCCACATCTATTCTTGTTATTCTTTTACTACTAGAAATCTCCTATTAATTACAATATTTCTGAGGGAAACTCTATGCTAACCTTCTTATAAATGCAAAAATATATTTTTAAAAAATACATTTCGATAATTAATTAACAAAATAATATTTATGTCACTCCAAATAAAAAATCTGCAATTTCCAAGAAATCCTAAAAAAAAATGTCCGTGTGCCCTGACGGTACTTATAAGTCCACTTGTAAACATCGATCTATTACAAAGACAATTTGATAAAAATTGTATAACTAGAAGTTAAACGCATTTGTCTGACTATTGAAGATGCCAATAAAAAATATTTGGTGTTGATAACTTGAAAAATAAGGTAAAAAAAAAAGGAAATCAGGAACACATGTGAGATATGAACAGAACGATTGTAAACTACCGATACAGGTAGAGATTGAAAATGGCGCCACACTAAATATTTTTAAAAAACATCGATCCCTCCACCTACCTGTGGCTCAAGGGAGATCATACTATCAATTAGATCAATAATTTTTAAAATTGGTCTTAAATTAAAAATAATACAGGCGCTAAATTAAAGTGGTACTTATAAGTACCGTCAGTAGATAAAGGGTTAAAAGAGAAAAATTAGAAGGTTCGAAATGTCAGATTTATAAATACGTTGGTAATTTCAATGTTTTTTTTCCCCCACTACCAACCAAAAACTCTCGTCAAGTGCTAAATAGTATTATTCTATGTACTCGTTGGATGTATTTTAATATTAATAATTTTTAAGTTTTAAGTAGTCTCAAAGCCACCTCAGGTTTATTTCATCACTTGATTACCAAACGGGTTCGATTTCTATTAGGTAGTCGCCCATATACGATCATACGAGTTTTAAGATTGTTTTAAAATGTAAGCACTTCGGTGTTAAAGTTTAATTCAACTTGTGGGCGTCCACAAAAGTCGATTTTGACCCCCTCCGCGTAGACGTCATAAATGGATGACCCCTAGGGTCATTGCGGCACCAGTTTATTTTCTCATAATTTTAAGCCATTTTTCTCGGTCCTATCGCTGCCCTGAGCATATGCAACAGCAGCCCAGTCCAGTCTTTGATGTCATCGATCCACTGACATTTTTGCATTCCCCTTCTTCTCTCTCCTGGCTCAGATCCCTGAATTACTGTTTTTGAAAGGCGTTGGTTCTTGTGACATGCCCATACTCCATACCATCATCATTTTCTTGTTTTGCCAATGCTATCATGATAGTCATTTTGTGTGGTGTATTTAGGGCTAAGTGTCGCATTGCGCCGCTCACTACTCTCCATGCCTGACCACAGTTGGATGCCTCCATCTAGGTGGCTCGTCTTGGCTACGAACAACGAACTCTTTTGTCCTGGCCGTTGACCTTAACTGGAAGGACATGCGATCAGTTAATATCCCCCCTTGCATGGATTGGTCCAGGAGCTGGCAGTGTTTCTTCCAGACTTTTTTCTCCCGGGGGGGGGGGGGCGGACACTGGTAAAAGTATATGTTTTCTATATAAATTCCATTTAGTTCCGGGTAGGGGGGGGGGGGCTCCGCCCCCCGAAAAGATGCCTAGAAGAAACTCTGCTTGACATCAAAGGTACTACCCATTTCCAGAGCTCCATATACCCCTCTCCCCCTTTCTCATGGAAGTCTTTTTTTTTAAAAGTTTGCCGACCTTACAACTTGTGTAATGCTATTGAAACTTCCGGGGGGATGGGGGGTGGGAAGGACGCTAGTTAGAGTGGCCAATATATATTTTTTGTTGGGGGGGGGGGGGGGGTAGACATGATTCGTAGACAGTGTTTCTTCCAGACTTTTTTCTCCGGGGGGCACTTGAAATTTTCGAAGCATGTTTACCGCTTCCCCACCCACCCCTTCCCCGCAGTGTTTCTTCCAGACTTTTTTCTCCAGGGGGGTGGGGGGGGGGCTTGAAATTTCCGGGGGGGGGGAGGAGGGCGGGCACTAAAAAAAGTATATATATTTTCTATATAAATTCCATTTCGCTCGGGGGGGGGGCGGTAGACTCTCTTCGCCCACCCCTCCCGAAGAGATGCCTAGAAGAAACACTGCCGCCCAGGACGAAAAAGGAAATGTAAAAATGTAAATTTCGGTCTATTTGTTATTATTTAGTTCAACCAATATCCCAGAGCTCTCGATCGAAAAAGATACAAGTAACCTATACATTCATTTCCGGAAAGCTGGAACCGGAACACCTGCCAGTCTAGATTTAGTAGATCTATTTATTATTGTATCCTCCTTAATATTGATAATACTCCACCTAGAATCTAAATTTAGTTAGAATCTAGAGGATTTTTCGTCTAGATCTAGATCTAGTTTTTTGTGTCAGATCACTGAATAGTGAATACGCAGTAAATGAAGCTATACTAGTAAATACTACTGAAGTTGACAAATCTAGAGCCAGGTAAACAACTTACAACTGACAACAGTTTTTTATTTTTTAAGAAGTAGGCTACACCGTCGCGCACAGGATAAACGCGTTACAGCGTTACCAATCAAACAATTGTTTTGACCTTGTTTTCTAAAACTGATTTATTAAATACAAACAATGCCAGCGCTTTGAATCCTAGTTGTTGGGGCTAGGTTAGTCAACATTACCGCCCAGTCAGCACTACCGCTGCAGGGCGTGCTAAACTAAATGAAAGTCGGATGATATTTCGAGTCGTCCCTTTGAATCCCGGACAGATCGTCCCCCCGGCGTGGCCTCAGCCAACCGGCGGGCTCGTTGCATTGAGTTAAATATAAACTCAAAACAATAATATAAACAATCTCCTTTTAGGTCGGTCAGGCCACATACCAGGCACGCACAGTGTTGTGTGTCGTGCCTTAACCAAAATAAACTATCTCCCTTAATTATCATTAGATATATTTAATTAGTTAATTAATTCATTAGCTAATTTATAAAATTATGTATGATGCTATAGCAGTAGGTAAGTTACGGTAAGTATAATTTTTTTTAACTATGTATTTGTACTATAAAGAAACACCTTCGTTGTTTGAATACCACCCCCTCCCCTTCTTGAACTCAAAGTTAAACTTTTAACCCCGTTCGTAGAGACATGCGGTATGTTGTAAGGCGGCGGGTGGGTAGGGTATATACTCGTTGAAGAAAAAATCCAACGTGGTGCGCGTTATTGGCCTTGGGCCTTCGGTGACGTTGTTGGCGTTTGCTGTGAGGGGGAGAGGGGTGTGTTTAAAATCCGTTTAAAAAAAATCGCAACATGGTATTGGCCTATGATGACGTCGGCGCAAGCGGGGAGGGGGGGTGGAGACACTTTTTTTTTTAAAACCAAGAACTAGGCGTTTAAAGGCTGTAATGAAAATCAAGGACTGGTATAGCCATGATGTCGAATTTAACGAGTGATGCTTGCTGGGTCTATCATACGATTGCTTGGCGATGGGAATCTCGTCAAGCTCAGTTTATATTTACAGTGAACTACTGGGATGCTGTCATACATAAAGTAACAGCTACCGAATGTAGCACTTAAAACATCGAGTGCATCCCGCTCATTATAAATTTGAAATACAAGTTATGGATTGCCCAAAAACTTGAAGGACTATCAGAATATATGCATTGTATTATAACATTAATCATTACGATATAACTAAAATGTGTATTCAAATATTTTTAGGCTAACAGGATCTGCATTTAAATAAACAAGACCTATTAGGCTACTTTTGCATGGTAGCACAACTACATTTTTAGATTTCATAATGAGTAGCCTAGTCGTGCATTAAAGGGCTGTACTCAATAACAATGAAAAAAATGAAATGCCGGCTTCAAACTTCAAGCTATGATTTCCCCGTATTCTTCTACTAGAAATATAGCTCCGTTGTTCTAATGACCTCACCCTCCTCCTCTCACCTAGTTCAATTTAAAGTTACACTTTCAACCCCGTTAGGATGCGTGAACTGGTGAACCGCGTGAACTACTGATGACCTAACTATTGAAAAAAAAAACTATTCTGGTGTTAAATTGCCCTCCCCTACTCGCAGCACTTTGGGGCCATACACATCAGGAAGGTCTAGGTCGGTGTTGTATCTCGTGCAAATTTACTCACAACACGACTACACACTATGCTTGTATCCAGGACTAAAGCTGCGACACTCGCATAGAGTTGGATTTATTCGTTAGATCATTGTGCTTCAAATTCTGTTTCAATATTGGATTAGATGGATATAATGTTGGAATTCAGTTAGTTTGTTATATTATATTTATCTAAATGTCGTGTACCATCAGAAACTAAATTGGTTGACAAGACACATGTGTAGGCTAAAGAATGACCTCTAGATCGAGCCAAAGATGGCTGGTTAAGGTTGACAAACTGTGGTTTTCAAATTTCATGGTGATACTTTTCTAAAGGATTTTATTTTGTGCTTTCTTTGGGATTATTTTGTGTGATGTGATTATTCAGAAGTAATTTGTAAGTAGAAGCTTTTCACCAGAGTTTCTTCCAGGCATCTCTTCGGGGGGGGCTTTGCCGCCCCCCGAACGAAATGAAATTTATATAATTTATATAGAAAATATATACTTTTAACAGTGTCCGCCCCCCCCCCCCCCCGAAGAAAGTTTACCCCCCCCCCCCCCCCCCGGAGAAAAAAGTCTGGAAGAAACACTGCTTTTATCATTCAACCATTTTAACAGTTTGCGATTGATCTGCGGCTGGGCTGATTAATTTACATTTAGCGAAACTACACACTACACGGCGCCCTCAGGCCGTTGTTTCAGCATGCCCTACTAGTCAATTATAGACAACTTTAGAATCAATACATAGAGCCAACACACCGCTATTTATTTAATAATCTTCAAGAGCCATTCCTCTAGGGTCGTTATTTTCACGAAATTGTCGTTTTCCATTTTGTTGTCAAGAAACTGGTATTTAGTTCACGAGAACGTATGAAAACCACTCATGCGTGACCGAAATCGTCGATTGGGTGCCTTCACGTGGTTTGACACGTGTTGACCTAGGCCATTGTTTACATCAAAAAATCACCCAAAACGGCCTTTTTTCGAAAAATTTGTTTGAAAAAATGGCTAAGTCCAGTTTTAAAAAGTGTCATTTTCGGGCCCATTTTAAAAAACGTAAAAAAATCCGAACTACACGTAGAAAAAAATGGCTTTTTCGGCCCTTTTTAGCTCCAAAAACGCGTCGCGTGACGTCACCGTGACGTCAGCCGCCAACCAAAACGCGGAGAAAGCGCGCGTTTGATTGGTTGGCAGCTGACACTATGAAATCCTCTAAGGACGATTCGAATGGTATACCTGAAAGTCTTGTTTTATTTTACGAAGTGACTACTGCCTGACCTGGCTTGTATAGTTTTTAGATCTATAGGCCTATATCTTTCTATCAGTATGCATAACTAATAATCATGCCATTGGTCCAGTTGGCCAAGAAGGACCCAATTGTTATTGTTGTTGACAAGGACCAAAAAACTTAAATTGAAAAATTAAGTAATTTATTAGGACTAGGCCCTATTATTAATAATTAGGCCTAATTGTTTGAAGAATCATGTGATAAACAGTCTGCAAATTTCTTGATATTTCCATGTTCCACTAGGGATTAATCTTGAATTGCTAGGGCAAATGTGGCAATTTCTAATCTCAAAACTGTTGTAAAATATTTATAAAGCCTAGGTATACATTGACTTTTCACTCAATGTAAGGATTGTTTCAAATTTCAATATCTATTTAGTAGTCAAGTTTCAAATGAGCTTAGTCTGAATATCCGCTAAAACTTTCTATAGTTAAATTTGTTTTGTCTTATTTTATAAGTCATTACGCATTTAAATTGAAATACCCACACTTATTGAATCTGTTCTCTGTTCTGGCAAAATACAATGATGTAAAAGCTTAATAATCAATGTATTTAAACCAGAAACAAAACGAGCTCAACATAAAGCTCAAGAAAATGTCAGCCTCAGCCGTATACATTCTCGATGTGAAGGGAAAAGTAAGTATTCATCCCTTACATTTCTGTTCTAACATTAAATGTAGGGTAAATTATGATTTAAAACTTTGAAGTTAATATTTTTTCTGAACTATAAAAAATATTGTTTAGCAATATTTTAAAAATTATAATATACCAATGTATATTCTCTAAATTCTTTTTTACTCTCTGCAGGTGATGATAAGCCGCAACTATCGTGGTGACATTGATATGTCAGTGATTGACAAGTTCATGACACTCATTATGGAAAAAGAAGAGGATAGTAACTTGACACCAATCATCCAACATGGAGATGTTGCTTTTATGTACATTAAGTACAACAACCTGTATCTAGTGGCAACTTCAAAAAAGAATGCCAATGTAACATTAGTCTTTACATTCTTACACAAACTTGTGCAGGTATGGGGTTCATTTACTTCTTTATTGTTTCTAAATGGTTCTAATAATTTTCAGCATGCAGGCAGCTAATGCAGTCCATTCATTTTCTCAGATTTTTGTGGAGTATTTCAAGGAACTCGAAGAAGAAAGCATCCGAGATAACTTTGTTATCATTTATGAGCTGCTTGATGAGGTCATGGACTTTGGGTATCCACAAACGACTGACAGCAAAATCTTACAAGAGTAATCAAATTTTTAAAACTGAATTCTGAATTTCTTAAATACCCTTGTAGTCATAGCAGTTTAAAATAGTTAACATGACTCTAAATAGACATGTATAGATTACATTATCAATTAAATAATTTTAAAATATTTAATAGATACATCACTCAGGAAGGACAAAAACTAGAGATAGCCCCTCGACCACCTCCTGCTGTAACGAACGCTGTATCATGGAGAACAGAGGGAGTAAAATATCGTAAAAATGAAGTTTTCCTCGATGTTATTGAATCCGTCAACCTTCTGGTAACTTCATTGTTGAGTCTTTGAATTAAAATGTTTTTTCTATTGTAGGGTTAACTAATCATGAAATATGTACAAAGTAAAAATTGGTGCAATATTTAGTGTTCCTAATTTAATTTATTTAGACAAGCCGACCCGCGGCATATCATACGCCGCTATTTAGTTGTTGTTTTTCTACTTTTCAGTTATTCATAATTTGTGAATTCGACACTACCAACGCAGCCACTGAAAATATTTCTTTAAAACACTATAAGTAGCTCGTTAAGGACGATACCCCCCCCCCCCTCTTTTAAAGTAAACTCCACTTAGTTACCCCCCCCCCCTACGTTTAAAATTGTTTCAAACTAAATTATCTGCCCCTAATAGTCGTCACTAAACCCGGCTCTGTTTGTAAACATTTAGAGTGAACCACAGCTCACCAGATCATGTAGGGGTGGGGGTGGTAGGGAACGCGTTTACAGCTTGTTTTCTAGCGTCTCCCAGAAGAGAATTATATATATAGATGATCTTTGTATTTAAAAAAACATGTTTTTTTAAATAAGATAAATAAAAATTACAAAGTTATTTACATTTTCATCAACCTCAGCTTGCACAGTGAATATGTACCCCTCTTTCCCAAGATGTGCGTCATGGTTGGGTGGTAGATAGTGTGACTGCTAACCCAACTCTAGTGGGTACCTGACTCACCAGGGCATAGTGCTGACCATGCTATCCCAACATATACCAGGGCACTGAAATGTGAACTCTACCTGCTCCCTGGACCGTCAGATTTGATGGAGTACCTTGCATGGTCATTTTTTTTACTTAAGTATTATTATTTTTTTTGCAGGTTAGTGCTAATGGAAATGTATTACGTAGTGAAATAGTGGGGTCTGTTAAAATGCGAGTGTTTTTATCTGGCATGCCAGAGCTGAGGCTGGGCTTGAATGACAAAGTCTTGTTTGAAAGCACAGGCAGTAAGTACCTACTCAAAATTTAGTTTTGTAAAACAATGTTTACAGTTAAAACTTTGCACAAACAAACCATGATTTAGGACTACTTCTTTGTTTTCAATTTATTATGATTGTCTGTTATGGTAAAAAATCTGTTAAAATTTGCCATAAATATAGTAAAAAAAAAAAGATGAAAGCATGAGTGTACTAACAAACATGAAGTAATAATAAGGAAATGCAGAAGCATTATAATTTTTTATCTAGTTCATCAATTGTGAATAATTTTTATGTATATTAAGAACTACATCCTGCTATTTAAAATTGTATTTTTTGTTGACCAGCTTGAGTCCTTGTTAGTTAATAATTAGATAGAAAATTTTATCCTTGCTATGCATTTTTTGCAGCTTTGTAAAGACTTTAAGCACATGTTTAAGTATTGACCTTTGTTTATTCAAGGAGGAAAAAGCAAGTCTGTTGAGTTGGAAGATGTCAAATTTCATCAGTGTGTTCGTTTGTCAAGATTTGAAAATGATCGCACAATCTCTTTCATTCCACCTGATGGGGAGTTTGAGCTCATGTCGTACAGATTGAACACACATGTAAATACTAGATAAGCATCTTGTTGTCTCATCTTGCTTTGTTGGTTTCATGTCTTAATTTATGATAATTTGTTATTATGCTTGGTTAAGTATGTAGCTTTATATTTATAGGTTAGTTTTAATGTTTAGTGTTTTCTTAAACAAAAGCCCTTATAACAATTTGTTAGAATCATTAAAAAAATAATGTATATTATTAATTTTTCATTGGTTTAGGTTAAACCTCTTATATGGGTAGAATCTGTGATTGAGAGACATGTCCACAGCAGGGTGGAATACATGATTAAGGTAAGCAAGAAAGTTCTTTGTATCATAATTTAATTCCAAACATGTTTAAAATTTAATGAAAATTAAACCACCAAAAATATTTGAAGCACTTGTCTGCTAAACTAAAAGTCTTTAGTTTGGATCTAGGACTAGAGTCTGCAGGACATCCCTAAACCCACCTAGCTCTGATAGTTACCTGAATTGCTCTAGGGAAAATGAAGACCGCACTGTTTCTTCATATGGTGTAGTCACAGAAACAGATGAACTTTAATTTATTTGGCCTATAAACCATCTGGTCATAAAGGATAACATTACATTCTAATTTACAAAACACTTAAAAAGAATTTTATTTTATACAAAGTGAGCATAGAATTTAACTATGGTTACTAATACCACATATTTATTTGGTGAAAAAGTTTGAATTATGTAACTTCAATTTTAAAAAGTAAACAATCCAATGTATTCCAAATTTAGGCCAAGAGCCAGTTCAAACGTAGGTCAACAGCCAATAATGTTGAGATAATTATACCTGTTCCTAATGATGCCGACTCTCCCAAGTTCAAAACAACTGTTGGAAACTGTAAATATGTACCAGAGATCAACTGTGTCATCTGGACCATTAAATCTTTTCCGGTGAGACTTTATGGCTAAAATAATTTTCTAAGCTTGTTACTTGCATTTATAAAAATCATAGTTATACAATTTTAACATTTTCAATAGCCTAAGTTAATAAAAATTACCATTTAAAAAAATGTGCTACAATACATCACTTAGAGATTGAATGGGTTGAGGAAAGATGGTTAAAAAATTGTAAAATGGTTGTAAATCTGTAAAATGCTGTTTCTTTTTTGTGAAGGGAGGTAAAGAGTATTTGATGAGAGCTCATTTTGGCCTGCCTAGTGTTCAGAATGAGGAGATTGAAGGGAAACCACCCATAAATGTCAAATTTGAGATTCCTTACTTCACTGTTTCAGGCATTCAGGTAAACATTTTAGTTTAAAATTCTTGAAGAGTGCAACATTTGTATTAATAATTTGGGTAAATTGTTTACTTGTTTTGAAAATGGTTAAATTTTCTCTTTATTTTTTTACAGGTGCGTTATCTGAAAATTATTGAGAAGAGTGGCTACCAAGCACTCCCTTGGGTTCGATACATTACACAGAATGGTGATTATCAACTCAGAACAAACTAGTAGGATATTAGTGTTTAGGTTAAAGACATTTAGCATGAGAACTAAAGGGCTATGCTCATTGGCTCAGAGAATCATGCTCACCATGTGATTAAATTCAACCCTTAATTTTGTATGAAAGTTGAGCTGTATTGTTTTTTTTTTGGAATGTAAATTCTATTTATGTTATTTTTATATATATTATCATGAAGTCATATTTGCTTCAATAAATAGATTATATGAAATATTAGGACCCAGAAATTTGAATGTCAGTAAACAAGGGCTTTAATAGGGTTTGTTTAAGTTATTGTATTACTAGTATTAGTAATTATGTTTTATATGCTGTGGGTGAACAATGAAAAGGATTTTTTAAGCATGTTTAAAAAATGTAATTACTATTTAAATTATTGTTTCAACTAATTTTTATTTTCTTCACCGTTGCTTAAGACTGAGGTCTATGTATAAATGAACAGTGCTATTATTGTACAAGTCTTGTTGAACATAATTGGTAAATAGTTTGTGCTTAATAGTGTTGTGAAATATACTGTGGTGGTATTTCTTCTTTTTCATAAATGAGTCTTAATCAGTGAGAAACAAAAACATGATTTTGGTTAAAAAATACTTGTATGTTACTGTATATTTGTGTTAATAAGAGGTTTATTAATTAAATTCAAAGTACCATGTGTAAATGGAGAATATTGCCATCTCTAAAACAACTGGATATTAATTAGTTTTTATGTAATTAATAAAAAGATTAATATAATTCTAGACATTTAAACTATAATGGAATTAAGTGTTAATTTACTGTTCAATCAAAATGTCCTATTTAGTGGCCAGTAAAGAATACGGCATAAGTAGCCAGTTAAATTAAAATATTTTCACTAGTAATGTTTCATTGTATAACATCAAGTTTTTTATTAGTCAATTTTGTGGTTTTTACAGTGCATGATCATATTACAAACAGAAAAAAAAAATTAGTTTTCAGCATGTAGTCTCTGATTTGGTTACCTGGTCAATAAACATTCCTAATCCAACTTTAGCATTGTTAATTTATTCCAGCATTGCTTTTTGTACATACAACATATTTTAACACAATTTTCAAACAAGCTAAAAAAAAGACGTTGAAAAACATCACGGAAATATTTTGAAACACATAATCTAGTGTCAAGGAATAATTATATTTATGACTACATCTGTCTATATAAATCTGAACAAGTCTATATTTCTATTTATCTTTCCTCTTCTCTCTATATGAAAAAACAAAAAACTGCTATTAAACAATGCACAAATTTCACAATTTGAAATTAAAAAGATTTATCTATAAAAGCTATAAGTGAATAATTGCTAATAACAGCTTGACATGAAATAGTTTAATATCAATACAGTTTTCAGTAAAAAGCATCAATGATTGTGCAAAAAATTAAAATATCAAAGTATACAATTATACATATTAACAATGATAGTTAGCCTCTAAGCATATCATCGTCACTTTCTTCAAAGTCATCCTCATCAACTTCACCACTTATTGCAGAACGCTTCTTCTTTATTACTGCCACAATAAATCCAATCAGGAAGGTCTGAAATCATATCAATAAGAAGTCAGAAATTTTTTTAAAATCAATAAAACTTGATAAATCGTCAAATAAGAAAAAAACAAATGCTCTAGTTAGATGGTAAAGATATTTATCCAATTGTAAATTATAAAATAAATTTGCCACTTAATAAAAAGTTTGATTATATAAATTGCATTGGTTTAAAAAAAAAACAATCACCCCAAGAAACACCCAAGTCAACCAATAGTAGGCAGCACCAAAGAACCACATCTTGAAGAAGAATCTAACCAGCAGGAGAGTCATTCTTGTGATGACACAATAATCTTAAACAATAAAACATGAAAAACAACTTTAAATAATGAACTGATACTGCAGGTATGTATGGTTGTACAGTTCTGCCGGGTACTAGCTCTGTTAGGTACTTGACTGCAGCTGGACATATTGATGACCATATAATCCCTTTTAAAAAACATACAACTATCAAATATGAAGACCACAGGGGATAAAACTGTTGTCACAACTTTCTACTTTTGCAAAAAATTAGATTTTGTGTTTGAGATCCTTTGCTTTCTATTGTGGCAGGATTTTAAAATCCTAAATATACACTAGTAGTAGTATACAAGTATAGTACTAACTCAAAAATTAAAAAAAGTGGACTTCTGTAGTTTATCCTCTACTTTCAGGTTTAAAAGATGCATACATTTTTTTTTTTCAATTCTTAAAAAAAATTGACAGAAAATGATAACAGTGCTTAGTAAAAGAAAACAGTTAACAGGTAGTAAATTTTACAGGCTATTTACCTTCGCTAACTTCTGTAGTACATTGTTTTATCACTGTGGATGTACTGTTTCCAAAACCTGTAACATTTACCTGGAAAAAAAGTGATTGAAGAAATTTATTTCAAACACAAGTGAGTCGTGTACAAATTTATGGAAAAAAATTCTTTTTTGAAATTTCTATTTTTTAAGATGTAAAACTGATTTTTTAAAATTTCCAAAACATTAACCACTTACGTAATGCTGGCTTCCAAATGATGAGTACTGTGGTGTAAGTTCATACAGTACAATATTGATAGCCAGGACAATGAACATCAAGATCATACAAAACATCAAAAGCCCTTGGGGACTAGTACGACGAGGACGAATCTTGTACATCTTTTATAGTGGGGAAAAAACTTACTTTGCTATATTCATAATATTATGGATTAAGTTCATTAAATTCTACGATCATTTATTTTATTTCTAATTTTTAATGATTGTTTGCCTTTAAGCTGAAAGAAAATTACCTTGATCCACAAAAACCATATTCCAATGTTTCTGATTCCTGACATTGAACAAAGCACAAAATAGGCAATTATTGCCACCATCATGACATAGTCCACAGGAAAGGCCTTTAAATGTTGCAGAAAAAATGTATTAGAAAATATTTCCATGGACTTTTTGCAGCTATAAACAGTACGTATTTATTAAATGAATTAAAAAAAGGTAGTATTATTATTTTACAGTAGTAAATATTTACAGTTAAATAAACAATATTTATAAATTAAAAATTAAATTTTTTGCAAAACTATTTTTATCTGATTCAACTAAATTTATTTAGCATAAAAAATAAAACCAAAGTTGGAGGACAAAATAAATTAAGCAATTTGAAAATTATATTTACCTGCTGACTAAAAACAAGAACAATATCCACTGGATTAGGTAGATGTCTTTCTGGTAGTGCATATCCACTCAAGTACCCCAAACTGTGCATTGTTTTATCAATGCTGTAGAGATAAATATTTTACATAGAAAATGCATGCTGTTAAATGACAGATATTTAATCACATAATAATGCATAAAGTGCACTCAACCAAAAGTAAAAGATGGTTGGACACAAAAAACAAATTTTTTGTCAATCAATTCTAACAGTATCCACCTGGGTTTCTGAAAACAAGCCATATCAAACAGTAGTTTTTATAAATGGTAAACCAAGTTTATAGCTCAGAAAATAATATGTATAATATCAAGAATAATTGCTTCATGTCTTACAAGTTTACATGTCAAAAATATTTGACAGCAGCATAAAACTAAATTTATATTAATTACAATCCTCAACAAAAAAAGTTTAACATCTAAAATCAATAAAAACCTATCAAACTTACTTTGTAAGTAGCAATGAGACAAAAACAAGTATGGCCATGAGAAAGAAAACAACTCCAAAAATAATCTCAAATGGTCTTAGAAGCAAGAAGCACTTGCGGAGCCAACTTTTCTCAGAGTTTTCAAGCAGGCGGGCCCTTTTTCCTATCAGCCGCTCTTCCTCTGCCAAGTTTTCATCCACCCTACGGGCGCGTGAGCTCATGTTAGCTCTGTTGGAATACTAATTGGAAATTAGAAACAAAACTTTCAACAAGGGTGACATTGATCTCATTTCTAGAATTTATTTTCTTTAGTCAAAGTTAGTCAATTGACACCATTTATTTACTTAAATCAGTGTGTCAATGTTAAGCAAAGATATAACTGCACTTCTTGGAAAATTACTGTTAAATAAAGTGGGTGGCATTAGAGCACAGTCTGGTTCAAGTTTAGGATTTTTACATTTAAGAATAAAATGATTTAATTTCACTAAACATAATGCTTATCATCCTTGAAACAAGAAGTAGAATTTAATGTAAAAAATTGTTGGCTAGAACACTGATTAAAAAAAAAAGAAACTTACTTTCTTTCTGATAGCTTCTCTTTGTTGTGTTCTTTGCTCCCTTTCTCTAACAGTTTCAAGTTTTTCTGTTTTGACATTTCGGGTACCCTTTACAAGATCCATTGGCAAGGCAGACATTCCATAGGCCTAAGTAAATAGAGATTAATTATTAAAAAATGTCCAGTCAAAACAGAATAAAATAAATCAATTGCAATGATTACTTGGTGATAACTAACAAATTAGTTCAATTTTTAAAAAGTTAAGCATTCTTTTTTATTTTAAATTTATTTATCTCAGACTTTACATATTTAGTAATTGGCAGAATACATTAAATCTGTTTACTTAAGTTATGAACTCACTGTGTATGAAACTATGCCAAGCATTCCAATTAGACTAAAAACACTAATTACGAAGGACAAAGAATCTTCTATTCCTATAACAATAAAAAAATTTAAAAAAAAAGATTTAGAGATTAAAAACAAACATTTAAATAAGTAATTACTAGAATTGCACTAATTATATTCAACTGTTCTAAATAAAGTGAATTGTTTCTATACCATTGCTAGCCATATCACTGAACAAAGCTTCAATTTTCTTCCAGTCAGTGCTGTTACTGTTGATGTTACTCTTGGTAGGGACAAATGCCCTAGAAAAGAAAGAGGTGATTTAGTATTTTAGTTACATCTTATACATGACTAAATTCTTCACAACAAACAACAGGTCAGTATATTTTAGAACTGAAATTACTCTAATCATAAAGTGACTTACCCGATTAACAAAAAGGTGGCGGCAATCAAAACAGTTACAATGGAGTACTTTAAGGCTGTGCAGCAACGCTTAAAAATAATTAAACATTAGTATTGAATGAGATATTTAAAATATTGATAATTCATAATCAAAGTAGGTCTATTTCAGGCTATGTTAAAATTGCATTTTTATAAATAGATTCTTTGTAAAAAAAACTTTTTATAATATGAAATATTATATATGAAATATGATATAATATATCAGTTTTTATACAAAATAATTTTATAGGCCTGTTTTTAATATTATTATGTAGACATTTTTTACTTCATAAAACATCTAAAAATAATTAAATTTAATTCAGCAGAACAAAATGTTAACTCACAGATTTGCAGTTTGTTTCTTCATCCTTTTCTTCATAGAAAAAGTACATGAATGGCAAGTACAGGAATAAGCAAAATGCAACAATACCATACAACACTGAAATTAAAAATAAACAAAGCTGAAGTTGAAAATTTATGTGATAAAAATTTAACCAACTTAGACAAATAGTTTGATTGTAATTCTATGTGACATAAAATAGATCACTATAATGAATCTGTTAAATTTGCTACATGTTTGCTATAATAATATCTGTGATTACTTGTTTAATAAATACACACCGTAGTAACCAATGAGTACTGAATTTTCAGTTTCTGAACGCACTGAAGAACTGTTGGCCCATTCCTAGATTTGGAAGAAAAAAAAGCAATACAACCAAATAAACGTCTAAGATATCTAAATTCAATTTGAATTAGGCCTGCTGAATTCCTCATATAATGTTAGCAATTCTATTGAAAAATATATACTATTTTCTATTTTTTTTAAATTGATGAATTTTTTCAGCTATTATCATAATTATTAAATAGCTATAAAATGTTAACTAAAGTGTTACAAACCTTAAAAGTACCATCAGATTCTTTCATGAAGGACACAAGGAAAATGTCCACGGGGACTAGTGCAGACGTAAGGAGAGTTACTGTCAGAGCAGCTATTGCAGACAATGTTGTTGACAATTCACTATCATATTTGTGCATGAAATAACGAATGTAGAAGCCAGCAAAAAGAAGTGTTAGCTGAAACAAAACAAATTAAACTATTAAACTTAATACATCAGCCTACTATAATCAGTATAGTGGTAACTTGACATATGATTGCCAGACAAAAGTTTTTCTCAGATACAAATTGTCGGTGTGAGCTAAAATTTGCTTTGATTAACAAAAATTTTTTAGATATGAGTAACCGGAGGTTCAACAATTAGTTGAAAAAGAAACATCCAGAAAAAGTTGCAATTTATTTTGCACCTGAGCTATTTAATGACACTTACATAAAAATTTTAAAGGGAGGAAAAGAACAAAACTCCTTGGACAGGTTTATTTAACAGCATGGTTTATTTCTTTGCAGTACCATACATTATGTTATTAAACAATATCTGTTATGTATAAATACATTTTTCTTATTAAAAAAATATTTCTAATAAAATTGGGTGGCATTTTGAGTCCGGAGTGGGTTTAGGGGTATCCGTTTATAACGTCCACACCGAAGGGGTCAGAAAAAATTGATTTTTGTGGACGCGTATGGACTGGGGTGGGGTCCATGTGGACATCCACACGTTGAAGTTAACATCGAAGTACTAATATAATACAAACATAAAACTCGTATCTTGGTTGTAAAAAATTAAATAAAGATGATAGGGCTGGTGTTTTAAAAATAAAAACCCATCCCAGTGTGTAAATAAAGCACTGTATTTATACCTACACTAGGATTTGCATCCCAGGTTAGTTGGTCAAAGACCAGCGACCGGTACTTCCCCTAGCCTGCAGATCTCTAGGTGGGACGGGGAGGGGGGTGTTAACACGCTGTCACAGTTCAGGTGTGGGACAGGAGGGGGCACGTTCTGACCGGGATTCAAAGGGACAACTCGAAATATCATCCTTTTTTTTTTTTTGCTATCAAATTCAATCGTTCCTAGATTCTAGATCTATACTAGATCTATTACTAGTATTACTATTAGATCTAGATCTAGTAGCCTAACTAGAATCTAGTAGACTAGATCTATTTCCATTTACTATTTATTTACAAAATAGGGTCCACTTATTATATAATTTATTTAATCAATATTGAACTTTTATCTTTGCTGATAGATCTAGATCTCCAAGTCATTGTCAGTCTAGACTCTAGAGTCTAGACCTAGACATACACTACACTAGTACACTACACACATTACTGTGACATTACATTAATTACAATATTACATTTACAATAATAAAAATTAAATTACTTGTTTTTAATTTTACGTACCACAATAACAACAAGAAACGGTATCCATCCTGCTGCTATCACAGAACCAGGTATAGCCATTTTCTCGTTTTTTTAAGTTGATAAGCAATAGGTAAATTTACGCAACTAGATATAGATCTAGATCTAGAATCTAATCTAGACTACATCTGAGCAGCCTGGTAGAAAAAAAAATCAACACAAGACCAAAACAACTCATTATTTCTGCTGCGTTACGACTGGTTGGTTAAAAAATAAGTCACATGACAAATGGCTCAATGCTTAAAAATAGCACCATACTCAAAACCACAAGTCAACGAACGTCGTACAATAAAGTAACAATATCTGTTTAACTCATAGTTTTAATAAAAATAGAGTGGGAAAAAAATATAAGGTGTTTTCAAAAGTATGTAATATAAGAGAAGAAAAATTCAAAAGGGCCATGGCTACTTGTATAATTAGTAATAATTACTTTTGTGTAAGAGACGCCTTTTTAGCGCAATTTCCATTCTGGAGAATTGCGTTTATTAACTCGTCATTTCTGGGAATGGATGGATGGATGGATGAATGTGTGTCCGGGCTTTAGTTAAGTCGTATCTCCTCCTCAACGAAGCAATATCGATGACTAGTTCCAAAAGCAATTATGTTAAGCAAGTTACGAGAATGAGAATAGGCCATAAAAATTCTGGGTTTCTTTCATGTATTTCCCGTAAAAGCCAAAAAACCTCGAAAAAATGCAGTTTTTGGCCCATATCTCGGCAACCAGACCACTTAGCGACTTGAAACATGTACCAATCGATTCCTGCCATAATTTAGAACAGTATTGCCGAAGAAAGTTTTCAAAAATATCCTCTCGTTCGGTCACAAATTTTAAAATTACATAAACACCTTCAAACCGATCGCTCTTCAAGCTTGAACGCACCCAATCATTATACGTCAGAGCTATTTTTAGATAACATAAGGAAATTGCGCATAAATGTCACTAGACTTTTTTTTAAATTACTTGTTTTTAGCTAGCTGAGTAAAGTTAAACAGTAAAGCAAATGGTTTGGTGAAATTCACAACTAGATCAATAATAAGACGGACGAGAAAGGGGAAGGGCTTAAAGAAGTCGTTCAGCTGACTGGATCCATATTACTAGAACTAGTATTTAAGCTTTAAACAGAATCAGAAAATTTACTTTTTGCCCCTCTCTTTAACAAACAAAATTAAGATTTCTACTTTGTTCGTTTGTTTTTGAGAATTAGTAGGTCTAGATGTAGCTCTAGTACGATTGGATAATATTAATAACATCACCAACACAATGTTGTATTGCCATATTGGCTGAATGTAAAGTCAAAACAGTATGATTTTTTAAATAGATATAGTTAAGTAGATATATATATTAAATATACATTTTAATTTAGTTTAAGTAATATAGAAACATCTACGGTTCAGTTATTTTAATCATAAATTATAATTTATCGCTGATAAATTTCTATCGAATTGGTTGTTACCTACAAACGAAGAGAACTTGAAGAAATTCTTTGTTTGACACTTTTTAATATTTTGATCTGACTATTATTTAATATAGTACGAAGTGATAAAGGATTTCTTTGACAATTCAGATGTGGAGATTTTTACAAAATAGCAAATAATTTGTTGCAGAGATGGATGTTCTAATAGTTCGAATTCAGAATAAAATCATTGTAGGCAGCTTAAGCTTCAGACACATGTAATCTATTACATATAAAGCTAAGCTGGCAATAGGCTGGGTAACTAAAGAGGCTAGGTACACTGGTACAGAGTTGAAATCTCAATCTGAAACTGAGAAGAAATACTTTTTTAGGCCCAATGCCCAATTTAATTTATTTTAATTAATTAATAATTAAACTAGAGAGTATAGCATAGATCTAATCCCTTTTTAAACAAAGAAGATTGGAAGTTCACTAAAATTTTGAATATAAAAATGGTAATAGATGAAGAAGAGTATTGACATTGTTGAGCTAGAAAACTGAAATTTATGATGGGCATACTAAAACTAAAATTGAATCCCAAGTCTAGTAGACTAGAAATAGATTTTTAACATATTATTTATTTTAAAACAGTTCTTTAGGCTAAATTTAAGTAAATTGCTAAATAATTAATTAGATGTAGGCCCCTATGGCTAAATCTATGTGTAGGCCTAAGCCTAATATTTATTGTAAAATGATTAAGTCACTGTTGATAGGATAATTTTTATAGGCCTAAAGTACAGATAGGCCTAATGAATTGAAATTTTTAAAAAGCTGTGTATAGGGCTAGGCCTAAGTGTAGCTGGCCTATGGCCTATAGTATACACTATAGAATTATAGATAACCATGCCCTTACCATAAGGCCTGTTCAAACTATTTTTATACACATAACCTAAAGGCCTAACAATTTAACTTAGGTACTCTAGCACCCCAAGCATAAGTTTTTATAAGGTAGGCTTATACCAAACTGTCTTGTTTACAAATAAAAACATTTAGGCCTGACATGAAGTAAAATTTATAGGACTTATCACCTACACAAGAAATTTTAAGTATAAAATAAATTGGCCTACTTCAGATGCCTTCTCCAAAACTTGTTTAAAACTGTAGCTTATAAAGGCCTATATATTGCTGATGTCACAGTAAGACTATACTTTATAGAAGAGGTATAGTCACATCACTGGCACACTGATCATAATCAATACTTATCCATAATGTTTTCTGGATTTCAGTATATGATGCTAATGACTCAATGAGTTAATTATGTGTCGGAATATTGTTTTATATTGTTAATGCAAAATGTCCAAATCTGGAGCTGGTTTATCATATCTGTGCCGCTATGCACAGCCCAAAACTGTTTTTTCAAGACGCCATGCAATGAATGACCAAAACTTAGATATTTACATCTTAGAAGATGTTGGAGGTGACTTTAGTGACAATGGTTCTGATGAAGAGAATGATGAAAGTAAAAACATCATTGATAAAAATAATCATGCTGTTTCAAATTTCTCTGGCCAAAATGGTACTACTCACAAATTACTCAGAGCTAACAACAATTTTGGTAAAAATAAACATGGATTTGGTGATTCTGGTGACGATGCTGAATTGGATAACCAAAGTAGTGCTGCTTCAGCTCTTGTACCATATGGCAATGAGGAAGATCAAACAACTACTAGCTCTGCAAGCAAACTTGAGTCTTTTCCTGACACTGACCATGATGAAGTTGACATGGCTATATCTCGTGATGGCTTGAAAGACAGACCTGATTTGGGTCTGTCCAGAGGATCTATAGATCAACACAGAAGGAAAAGTGAAGCGGAAAAGCATGAACATTTTTCAAAAACCAAAAATGCAAAAAATGACAAATCTGAAGAAGCAGTTAAATTTACATGGCTTGATATGTTAATGGGTGTGACTTCAATCGCCATATTTTGCATTGATATAGGAACAGATATTGAACTAGCAGCACACTACTTTAGGGAGAGATTATGGAAGTATGGGGCTGTGACAGCAGCTTTAATTGTGATTCCTTCCTTGATTACATGTTTCCTTGGGCTCCACTGGTATCTGATTGATTACAAGAAAGAACAAAGAGATATAGAAAAATTTAAAAAGGAGAAAAGAAAGGCATATACTGTACCAGGATATGTGTGGTTTCTGCGTATTTTTTTTACGTTGCTGATGTGCGGACCAATTGTCAGGTAATTTGAGTTTGAATCTATACTCATTCAAACTTTTTTTAGTAAAATACGTTCAGTAGGACTATTACGATTACATAATTTGTATCATGTAGCTAAAAAAGTTGTCATTTTGCTGTCTCCTGTTTTACAGAAAAGTGCCAATTTTCTTAACAAGTTTACAATTTTCCCCAGAATTGTTGAGTATTTGTACTGTGGTCATAACAGTCAAAATAAAAAGTTATCTGCCAGAGAGCGTAAAAGATTCCACAGATTGATGATGTATGAGGATGTTGATAGCTGCTTGCTTCGGCTATTTGAAAGCTTTTTGGAATCCGCACCGCAGCTTACATGGCAACTGTATATTGCTATTGACCTTAAACCACAGGAAGATGCTGTTGGATGTAAGTAAATCTAAATTTTCACTAATTTATTAGGATATGATCAGCCAAACTAAAATAATCCTTAAAAAAAATTGCCCAGAGGTACCTAGAGGAAAAACTCCTTTCATTTCCCATCAGACCTGCCAGGGTGGGACACTGATTACAGGTGTATGGGTGGGACACTGATTACAGGTTTATGTGTAGGGCCTTTCTCACCAGCTGGCTTAACCTGTGACTTTGATTCCCTCGTTCTCATTGGAAGTTGTTCTGATTCTGATGATCATTTTTCAGCCTACCTAAGATCCCATTTTAGTTATTCAATTCCAGTGCACTATAGAAAGCCTTCTAAATTAAATTATTTTCTTGCGCTAACAATTGTGTTTTCCAGTTCATTTTTTTGTCACCATTAGGTAAAATTTGTTTTAGTGGTGTACAAAGTTTAGGAGTTATCATGTATCCATAATTATGTGCATTTTTTAAATTCAACATGAAAAAAATAGATAAAATAGATAAAATATAAAAAGGAAACTAAAGTTTTTTCAAGGCTTGATATATGAGACTTATGAAACAACTCTATTATCTGTTAACTAAGATTTATATTTTTTTCAGCATCTATTCGAGCTATAGCCCTGCTGTCTTCCTGGGGAAGCCTGGCTGTATCACTTATGTCATATCAGAAGTCTCTACGAAATTCCCATGAAGAAAAAGCTAAGATGAGCATCATCAGTCTCCCCTTTTATTTCATATGGAGAGCCAGCGAGATTGGAGGTCGTGTCCTGTGTATCGCCATGTTCGCCTCAGCTTTTGACCTTTGGGTGTTTGGACCACTAATTTTTCACTGGGTTTTCATGTCCAGCTGGTTGGTTGTACAGAAGACGACATTCTACAAAAATGTCTGTCTGGAAAAAGTCTTCAATATCATCTGCGGCTACGTCATGGTCTTCTGTTTTCTCAACCTACGAGAAGGCCAGACGAGATTCCGTGTCATTTTGTTTTATTTTATTGTCTATGTTGAGAACTTCTTTATGCTGGCTCTGTGGTTTAAATTCACCAAAGACTTAGGGGCTTGGTTTCATCTATGGGGCTTCATCGTAGTTCTGATCCTGTTCGTGTTTCATGTTGTCTTTCAGTTGTTGTATTACTGGTTTTTCCACCCCACGAAAAACATCAAGATGTGTTTGCCTTGTGACCGGTTTGTTCTCTACAGCTCCATCTGTCATGATCTCCAGCCACATGACGACAAATCTGCTGAAGTGAACCATACTGTTGCAGAGATAATTGTTGATGAACCAAAGCCAGCTAATGTAAAAAATCAGGATCTTGTGTCCCAAGTATAATGTTAATTAACTTTGTGTAATTAGACCAATTATTAAAGTTATTAGATAGCTTTTTTAGCTTATGGCACAAATTAAATATTTCTAAACACGATGTTAAAATCAACTTAGTCTACACTTTAATGTTACTTAAAATTATAAGATTGTTTTTTATCATTACTATTAGAAAACAGTTAATGTAATTCTAATGACCTCTAGATAAAACAAAAGCTTTCAAAGTGTTAATGGACCAATTTTTGTTTGTATAGATAAATGGCAGGCATAAAATAGACGCTCTATCATTGAAATTTCCAACCCACAGATCACTTACTCAGTCAGCCAATATTTGCTGCACTATAACCCATGTTTTGAAAAAGAAAAAATGATATTCAAAGTTATACTCAAAGACTGACATAATCTTGGGCATTCTTATTATTCATACTCTAATGGGTGATTTCTTTTTCCTTTCATAGAACATACAACAAAAATGTTCTGGTGTATAAAATTATGATTCATGTTGTTCAAGTAATTGTTCACTTCAACTTTATGTCAATTTATGTTAAGTAAGTAATGTTGATGTAATCATGTAAGCTAATGTAAACAGCCACGGTTAATATGAAGGTTGTAGCATGTAGATAATGTGTGTACATGCTGTGTGTACATAGATCTGCAAAATATATGGAGATCAGCTTAAAAAGTTGGATCATGAACTGATTAACTTGTAGAAATTAATTTGTATGCTTTTTTTAAACATAAAAAGATAGCTATTAACTTTATTAATGGAAGTTTATTGTTTACCATTTATTCACAACGAATCAATAGAAATTATATACCTAAAACTGGAGAAAAATATGGTATCTATAATGACTTTTGTAACCTTTATCACATTCTAGTTTTATAATACTAAAGTTGTTTTTTTTTCACTGTAAACATGTTCAGTGTATCTAATGTATATTATGTATTTATTATTTACATTCTTTCAATATATATAATAACATTTGTTGTAATCTATTGTTTATGTACATTTTTTTTAGAAACAAGGGATACATTATTTTTTTTCATTTGAGTGTACTTTTGACATTAACAAAAATCATTTAATTTTCAAGAACCAAGTTTACAAATGTTCTGCATTGTTTTAGTAATTTAAAAAGTGTATTTTTTAAGAAATTGTTTTAATTTTTATTTAAAAAGTAGCATTTCCAATACTTGAAAGGACATCTTTTTCAACTATAGTAACCTTTGATTTTAATTATTCTGTTTCATTTTTCCAATTCATGTTTTGGATTTCCTGCTTAGATCAAACATTATTGACAAACATACATACTTCTCTGTCTTGTTCATAATGTTGGCTTGTCTGGCTTCCTTATGATCTCATATGATATCCTAATAATGATTTGAAGGGATGATCTCATAAAGCATAATCACTACACACAGTCACTATTTGTCAAGTAGTAAATGAAAATTTAACATAATTGTCAACTGTATTTTTGTAAGTACTTTCCCCCCAGACTTAGTGCCTAGTATCCTTTTCTGTCCCACACTGCATACAGTATCTTATTGAGCACAGCTGTCTACTCATTTATGTAACTTCAATCCTAGCTTGCACAGATGTATTTAATTATTGTTTGCAATTGACCAGTCATAGAGGTGTATGTAGGTGACTAGCTTGTTCTTGTCCAGATCAGTTACTTGCTGCCTATAAATCATGCACTGACTTGCCATATTGCACCTATAAGTATAGTGTAATTGTGAAATAATAAGGTGAATCTTTATCAAGTTGTCATGTGTTTGAAATAACTTTTAAAATAAATAATATTTAAAAAAAATCATTTAGTAATTCTGTTTTGATAGCATTAGAAAGAAAACATTTTAGCTTAGAGCCAACCAGATGAATTAATTCTCATGTTAGTTTTGAAGATGATAATAGGATTGTATTGTTTTTTTCTTGTATGAACCATTTGCATTAGCATTCCTAAAAGAACATTCCAGAATAAATATCAATTTGTGTTTTTGGTAAATTGGATGGCCCGAGATTTAAAATAATTTTTAAAACTGAAAAAAAAGTTTTTGACTAACTAGACTTAACAACATGATCATTTGCCTTGAAATCTCAAGGGAGAAGAAAATTAAATGGTTGAGTAAGAATTTCCCCAATTTTTAAATTGTGTATGTATATTGTGAGATGTTTTTGTATTCAACTTGAAAAACTATTAATGACTAAACATGACATGAATGATATGAAAAGCACCATAATATTGTATCAATGGCATCATAGTACTGGCATAGACATTTTTTGTGTTGATGCAAATCCCTGAACATTTTGGATTTAAGGGAAAGTTATGAATTTTTAAAAGGAAGTTTAAGATTGTATAAAGTTAAGAATTATTTAGGATTTTAAATGAAAGTTTACGATTAATAAAGGAAAAATTGTAAATTTTTATGGCTTCATTTTATTGGCAGTATAAAATACTGAAAATCAACTTATTTTTTTGGTATACTTTCTGTTGTAATATTCATAAAATGTATAGATTATTATGCTTCATAGGTTGCCATCATTACTATAAATACTTACATATGCCATTTCTTATCTGTGTCTATGTTTGTGCTCAAGGTACAGAGTTGCCTCCATGTTTTGATATTCTTCTCTCCCCTTGTCCCTGTGGCAATTACTTCACAATCAGTACATCATTTTTTATTACCTTTACACATAGTTTTATTTTTATTTTAATACTTGGTGGCACTCAATGGAGGGACCATAAAAAGCTGATAAGCTTCCATTATACATAGAGGACATGACGGAAAACATAGGATGTAATGATAAGACCCACCTGGATTATGTTGTGGCTATAAAACTTTGGGTGACAATCACATGTAGTTATCTAATTATCGTAAAGTCATAGTTGTTTCTTAAAGAGGAAGGGGAAGACAATCATGGGGAGTGGAGCCCATTTTTTGTTGTATTTTTGAATGTGTGTGTAAATGCATTTAAGTCCAATAAATAGTGCATAACACTTGATCTCAGCAAGCTATTAGTCAATGAGCTTTCCAAAAATATAAAAGTCTAGCATCTCCCCCACCCCTATTCAGACATGTTCATTTCGTTCAGTTTTTCACCCCACCCTTAGAAATCTCATCCCCCCCCCCCCCCCCCCACAAATTAATTTGTTAATCTCTTGCGCCAGTAAACTACTTTGCAATCAATGATTTATAAACTAAAAATTTGACATCACTTAAAAATATATCAGGTCTAAGATTTTACAAACTTTAATGTGCCAAAATTGATTTTTCTGTTTTCAAGTGTTTTGTTTCACCTTCTACTGGTATTTACAGTTTTTAAAAGATTTTTTTTTATGACTTTGGCATATTATGGAGCTGTGATTGTTTTAAATATTAGTGTTGTATGTTATCTTAAGTTCTTTTCTTTATTATTTTAATCAGTGAAGAATGAAAAATAAATTATGTGCAATGGTTTTTAATATAATAACTCAGTAACATAATTTTAAATCAATGTTTGTAATTAGTAAATTATTTTGAACTTTTTTTGTACAGGGAATTTAAAAAACTTTTATATTTAGTTAGATATTGTAGGCCTGTTTCCATAGAGAAGTGCCATCCTTTCAGCAGGTTTCATTTCATACTATCCATTAATTACTAATTATGTTTAGAGTACCCTAGCTGATATTATAAACACTGTACAGTTTCTGGCTAATTGAATAGCAACACACATTAGCTGTGTACTGTAGTATTGTTGTTGTGTATAATAGATTAGGTAAAAAGTAATTGCATTGGGGAGAATAGAAAATACTAAAATAATTAAAGTCAAGGGCTATCTTATTGATGTATATTATGTCCGGTGGATGTACTGTCATGTGGATATAAATGTAGGGTGGATGTACTGTCATGTGGATATAAATGTAGGGTGGATGGACTGTCATGTGGATATAAATGTAGGGTGGATGTACTGTCATGTGGATATAAATGTAGGGTGGATGTACTGTCATGTGGATATAAATGTAGGGTGGATGTACTGTCATGTGGATATAAATGTAGGGTGGATGTACTGTCATGTGGATATAAATGTAGGGTGGATGTACTGTCATGTGGATATAAATGTAGGGTGGTTAGGGCTGTCATGTGGATATAAATGTAGGGTGGATGGACTTATGTGGATATAAATGTAGGGTGGATGGACTGTCATGTGGATATAAATGTAGGGTGGATATACTGTCATGTGGATATAAATGTAGGGTGGATGGACTTATGTGGATATAAATGTAGGGTGGATGTACTGTCATGTGGATATAAATGTAGGGTGGTTAGGGCTGTCATGTGGATATAAATGTAGGGTGGATGTACAGTCATGTGGATATACATGTAGGGTGGATAGACTGTCATGTGGATATAAATGTAGGGTGGATGTACTGTCATGTCATGTGGATATTAATGTAGGGGGGATGGACTGTCATGTGGATATAAATGTAGGGTAGATGTACTGTCATGTGGATATAAATGTAGGGTGGATGGACTTTCATGTGGATATAAATGTAGGGTGGATGGACTGTTATGTGGATATAAATGTAGGGTGGATGGACTCTCATGTAACTCAATGTAGGGTGGATGGGGCTGACATTTGCTCAGTAATTATTTATGATATATTTGAACTAGTCAATCCAAGTTTCCTTGGTGTGATGCTATTCATCTCTTGTGATATAACCTCATTCCTGAACTGTGGCATTTGTAGTTATCCAGAAAACTACCTCTAGGGAAGATAATAGGGGATGGAAGGTGTGGGGTGTTGCATAAGGAATTAAATTTGCTGCCTCACTAATGGATTACCATTAAATAAAATATTACACTTTTTAAGTATAATATTCTAAATTATTCAACAATGCTAATGTTTTTAGTAGTGTTTAGTGAAAAGAATGGAAGCTTTGGGTTTAAATATGTATAAAAAGTTAATTACATTTTTTTTTACTCTCATTGGATGGTTTGAAATATCTGGTGTCGCTATAAATGTAACATTACCAAAACTATTGTATGATCCTGGTATGGGACCTGAAGGAGCCTTCATTCAGTTTTAAGTAGAAAAACTAGTCATTCTTCTTAAGAAGACTTTTTCCTTCCATATTCTGAAATTGTGATCCCTCATTAGATCATAACAGGTTTGACGAATGGGTTGGCAAGGTTTTTATTTTACTTAGGAATAATGAATGCCATTTGTTATAGTTAATTACAAAAGATTTTTACTTGATGATATGTGAACTTAGTCAATCATCACATCACATATTCAAGATTTTACACTAATTGAAAAAAATGCATTTTAGAGCAAATATTGTTTAATAAAAATAATGCAATTATTTTATTTCCAAACCAATATAAAGTTTGTGTCTAAAATTAGATGACTTGTGTATCAGTTATACAATTTAAAAAAAAATTAAATTTTTAGCATAAAATTAACATAGATGTGTTTTAGACTAAAATTGATATGTAGACTTCTGTTACAGACCTATCCTTCTTGAGGATGAATTTAATATTAGGCCTGTTTTTTAGTGGGTGTGTCTAGTAAAAGTTACACTGCAAGAATAATTTTTATATTATGCCTTTGACTAGAGTTTGTAGCTATACTTAAATTTTTTTTTTAAATTTTTATTTTATTTTTTTTTGCAGAAAGGTCACAATTTTACATCATATAAATTGAATCACTATATCATTTTACTTTAGTTGGTTGACATTTTTACTTTGTCATATAAAATCTTGTGTTGGTGTTGCTCAACAAAACAGTTACATGTGTCTGCAGCCATTGTTTGTTTACTGATGTTTATCAGCTGTTGTTTGTTTACAAGTCTCTGCAGCTGTTTGTTTACAAGTCTCTGCAGCTGTTGTTTGTTGACAAGTCTCTGCAGCTGTTTGTTTACA